CTCCATTTCATGGGGCCACTTTTCAGTGATCCAGATCTCATCCCCCCGAACAAAATACAGCTTCTGTTCATACATGGATCAAGTATCAACCACCCCACAGTGTGGGGCTTGTTGTCTTCAACATGGTAGGTGCTCAAGAAAATGGAAAAACGAACAAGCACATCAGTAATGCATGTGTCACTTTCCTGTGGTGTGGAATGCTTACCCTTCGGGGTCTGAATTAAAGACATCACCATCGGGCTCCGTGCTCATCTTTAATGAGGAGCTAAAGGCCACAATGAAGTTCTCAGGAGTATTTTCTTTCCAGTTTTGTACTTAGGCTCGCCTTCTTTGTACAAAGCAGAGTTCTGCTAAGAATCCTATCTTCTTGTGAAACAAATAGCCCCTTACCATTATCTGTTTAAACTTTGTGTTTTGACATAGTTTTAGGGTCACATGCAGTGGTAAGAAAGATTCTGGAGAAATCCTGTGTGCATACACACATCCACTTTCCCCAGTGGTAACAGTACAGTATCACGACCAGGAAACTGACTTGGACACAAGATACAAACCACTGACTTTTTTTTTTTTTTTTTGAGACAGGGTCTCGCTATGCAGATCAGGCTGGCCTTGAGCTCACTTTGTAGCCCAGGCTGGCCTCGAACTCGCAACAATCCTCCTGCCTCAGCATCCCGAGTGCTGGGATTACAGGCATGCACCACCACACCAGGCTCAAACCACTGACCTTATTTGGGTTTTACATTGTTCCCTGCTTTGTGTGTGTTGAGGAGGGGGGTTAGTAATAAACATTAATGCACAGGTTCTTTTAAAGCCAAGAAACATCATGGTTTCAGCAACAACTGCAAAAAATATCTCAGGCTGGAGGTGTAGCTCTCACCTAGCATGAGGCCCTGGGGTAGACCCCCTGTACCACCAAAATAAAATCCCTTTAAAATAATGATCTCCCTTTTAAGGAAGTCATTTGAAAAGCATTTTTCTCATTTATATTTTCTGTATTTGGAGTATCTAACTTAGACCTGTCTGCTTTCAAGGCCACAAAACGCACTTCCTGGCAAACTTACTCTGCATGTGAACTCGTGGCAGCTAAGGTGGGCATGGAGCCTCCTCCTCCTCACCCTCCTTCTCCTCCTCCTGCCTTTGGAGTGAGCAGGTACACGCACACACACACACACACACACACACAGATTTTCTGCTGCTTGCCTTTTTTTATGCCTGAGTACCTTGCTGACAAGTGCTAATAACAAAATACCCAGAGAGAGTCCAGTTGAAGTCAGCATACATTAAACATTGTGAACTTGTCCTTTTGCTCATAGATTGTGCATAATTAATAATTAAACAGTTTCAGTTGTAAAGGGTTGACCTTCCTGAACTGTTCATTATTCACAAGGCAAAGGCATCATTCAAACTTCTTTCCCATTGTTCCTTGTTCTTCCTGGCGTACCTCGAGCTCGCATTCCAGTTGCTTAGTGAGAAGGGCTGACCAGTTACCAGAACCTCTGAGACTTGTGGACTGTGCTCCTTGATGACCAGAATTGCTTCCTGAAAAGCTTTATGGCAGCTGTTTTTATATAACCATTGCCTCCTCGATAACAAGACCCAGCTCGCGTCCCCTTAGCAGGGCTCTAAAGTTGATTTGGGACTAGACTCAGGCTAAGGCTTTTGGTTAAGGTTGCAGCCACTCTGCCGTGCTACGCCTCCATGCTTGGAAGTTCAACAGAGAAGCGTCCCAAAAAGCCCTTAAGGTGAAGTATGGCATCCAAGGTCTTAAAGAGTGACTTTTATTAACAACTGGTAGTCCGTTTCAGCCAGTACTGGGAGTTATTGGTGTAACTGCTTCTTCAGTTCGCGTTTATGTTTTTCAAATGTATTTCTCCGTCTTTCCCAAGCCCTTATTTCACAGAGGACATTTTTAATAAGTAGCAGCAACCACTTTACTGGATTCGGTGGGTTCCCTGCAGTGGTTCTCGGGCCCCCTGGAGCCCCACAAGGATGGAGTGGTTTCCTTCCTGTGAGCTGCAGGAAGCAGGAGGCCACAGTTAGTGTATGCTGCCTTCCTACCTTCTCATAGGTTCGAACTAAATAACAAATAGGTTCGTTCACGTCCTGATCTACACAAGTTCTGACTTTATTTTCTTTAAAAAGAAGAAAGTGTGCTTCAAAACCCTTCCACAGGGAGAACATTCTCAGAGGTCCTCCTTTGGCCTGCCTGCTTTTATGACCTTGGAAGCTCTCAGAGGCCACTGTTGTCCAGGGTAATGTGTGTCATTTTCACCACCCCCTACCAGGCAGTCTTCTGCAACTCAGAAAATTCTTCCTGGAGGCATTCGAGAACCAGGGGTTTTAAAGTAAAAAGAAATATCTGGCATTATCCACGTGAGAAGAGAATTTCCCCCCCTACATCTTTGATGAGTGATCCTTCGCCGATGAGATGAGAATCCACTTGCTGTGGTTCTGCAGAGTCGACTTGGGCTGGCGTTTTCAGAAGTGAAATAAATTATTCATGGGTACCACCCAGTGTTCCTTAGTTTTATAATATGAGGAACTTACCAGGCTACAATATCGGGTCTTAAATAAAATTAACTACCCATGCGGGATGTCACTTTTCCTCGTTGTGTTCCTCATCCGTGGTAAGGTGACATCTTCATCGAGTTGCCTGGTCTGTAATTCATTAATTTACTCCGTATCATACTTTGAAGTGAGACCCACATTAGCAGTATGTTTTATACCAGATCTTGGAAAAAAAGAACAACAATCCAGAATTTTAACCATCTTAGTAAATATTCAGCCACATTAGAACAGCGCGTAGGGTTTTATTTTCCTGAATATTGCATTTGAAGGCTTCTGCCTGTCAAAACTTCCATTACTACAGACTCCAAAAAAAACCAAAAATCTATAAAGAAATGGCTTAGAGAGGCTTCCTAGCTGGTCAGAATCCGTGATTTCCGCAGCTCCAACTTGGAACTGTCTTTTTTTTACTCATGGTGTTTGAGACAATAAAATGTCATTTCTTGAACTGGGCCTGGTGACATCTCGCGGGCCCAGTGATCTCTATGACTTCCCTAAAACAGGCCACGGCTGAAATTGATAACCATGTTTTATTTTTGCTCTTCAAACCAATGGGACTTCCGTGACCATTTTACGGTACCTTTATTGAGGGCTGGTCATGTCATTGTGCGCCTTGCTGCTTTTGAGTAGGCCGTTTCACCAGCCCCTGCTTTTCATGTTCTCTCTCTGTAGTGCCAGCCCGTGATCCTTTGAACCTGGCAAGATTTTATTTCGCTCCCATTTTCCTTTCTCCCTGGAAGCCTTTCTCCACTGATGAGAATTTTAAGTTCAGAATACTAACCTTCCCGTCCTCTGGATGAATAGCAGAAATTCAAAGAGGGTGGGCATGCACAACGCCGAGAAACATTTTGTTCTTATTCTTCTACCAACCTCTTCGAGATGTTTTTTTCCCCCTTTTTTGGCTGCCTTGACCCTCTCGGTTCCTTTTGATTTAATTGTATTTTCCAGCGGTTTCCAATTGTTGGAATTGGAAACAAAGCCTTAATAAGAGTTCTAGTTAATTTTCTGTCTTGTAATTACCGATCTCATTTTTCTGATAATTGGCCACAGCAATTATATGTATATTTACTAATCACATAGGAGGCTGTGCAATTGTATCTATCTGCCACCATTGATAATGACACGCATATTGCAGAGGTGCTTTTATCATCTTCTTTTTTCCACTACATCAAAGCTATTTCCTCTCGTTCTCAATAATGAATACATGCATGCATTTGCCACAGTTGTGTGCTAGAGAAATTGTTTGGCTCCCACCAAATGCTGCATGCTCTGAGTTTCTTGCCTGCAGCGCTGGAAGGTTGTATGTAATGATATATTGCTCATCCAAATGGCCAAAGCACTCCAAAGCACAGTGAGATTAAAATAAGTCATTCCTTTGTTAATTTAAATAGGTGCATGTATCATACTTTGCAGGGCACTTTGTGTAGGGATGTCAGGGAGGAAAAAAGGCGCCGAAAGGTATTTTTAATAGCAAATGAGAATAGATGAGAATAGAGTCATTTGCAGCTGCCTACTTTATGTGGCTCTCTTGTTCCAAGTGTAGGTCTAATGAGATGACTGTTAAAGTACTCTGCAGTGTAATTTCATTACATCCTGAGCTGTTACACTATAAACACAGTGGCGCTCTCTGTCATTCTTGCAAAAACTCCTAAATTCTTAAAGCCTTCCTCTGCAAATGGAAAGGGGCTTTGCGCCCCGTGTTACGTGGCTGCGGTCACACTGGCTGTTTGATGCTGTGGAGTTTTCTGCTCATGCGGGGGACTCCCTCCTGCACCCCAGTTTTGTTTGGTCACGGAGGTGGGAGTTCCTCATGGTGTCCTTAACCCACTGGCTTCCTCCGATGACGACCACGACGAGCTGGCCTCGGCCGGCGAACAGGCTGCGGTTCCCTTTCAGGGAACAACTTCGCTTCTAAATGCCTTTCTGTTAAAGTGAGAAAAAAATTTTACCCGCACATGTACCATCTAGGGGCAAGCAGTTAGGAGCAGTCAAATATACAAATAAATGTAAATAAACAGGAAAGTGTAAATAAATAGCAAATCCAGTAAAAGAAACAAAGGTCAACACAAGAATAATTTCACAGCTCTTTGTTAATTACAAGACCATTTGTGTGTTACTTAAATAATCATTAATTTCTCATTTACACTTTCCCTACCTTCCTTCCTAGCCCGTGGCTATCATTGTCCTTTCCTCACCTCTCCCGCTTTGCTCTCATGTTCATCACCATTGTAAAACGCGCGTGACTGGAAATTGGGCGGGTTTTGCCTAAATGTGTGGAAGGAGGGGATAGCCAGTCCTTTTAATTGGGTGAGGCCTCGTGTCATTATATTCGTCTTTATTCTGCTCCTCTGAGTGGGCCGTGGGGGGCAGGGGGGTGACAGAGAAAGAAAAGGAATTGTCCTGACTTCTGGTGACTTGTTTTTCCTCCATCCCAGGATTCGCCCGTCCTTCCGGTTGGAGAGTTCTCCGAGCCATTTGTACATTTCATCACTCAGTGGTGAGCCCGTTTGCAAACATGCCATGCCCTCAATGTAAACGCTACATGCCATTAACTCGGCCGCTCCGGGAGACCTTATGGTTCTCCCTGCTTCCTTTTGGAGACGGGAGGGACTTTGGGGCCTTGGGCAGATGGGGCAGCAAAACCGAAGAAATTGTTTAAATTATGTAAACGTTATTTACACAGAGGGTCATAAATGTACTTCCGAGGCTCTTACTATTTTAATAAACTGCCGAGAATCAGGCTCCTCCTTTGAGCACGGGCACTGTTGCCATCCTGTTGGGATGGGCTTTTTTTTTTTCCCCTAAGAAATGTACAATTTTATAGCCCCTATTGAACAGACATAAGAAGCTTATTTTTATTAATGTAACCTCAAGTTACCCATAAAGCTGCCTGTCACTTGGTGGAAGCAGCATAGTTTATTCATCGGATTTCAGTAAATAACTTATCGGTGGTTATCTTTTAAACGCGGTCCTGGGGTCCCATTTTCCCGGATTCTGATGTTCGAGAGCCGATGAACACACAGCTCCGTTGGGCCCCTTCATCCATAAGGAGCTGAGGGAAACCCGAGATTTAGACCAGAGGGGCCCCTGAGCCCCCGGGCAGCGCCTTCTCATTTTATACCTGAGGAAACACATTTTTCTGCCAGAGATTCTTTTCCAGCCTTGTGCCTGTTTCCTCCCGGCAGAAGGCAGTCATCTTTTATCAGCCCTTTCCCCACCACCCCCCTGCCCTCTTCTGCAGGGCTCCCGTGGCCTCCCGAGGCCAGTCCTGCACTGCCCTCTCCCTCACCCCAGCATGGGGAATTACCCGGGAGAGTGGAGGAAATTGGGAGCGCGGGGATGACTGTCCCCAAAGCCAGAGACGGCCAGGGCACCTTCTGGAACATCTCGTAACCCCCTTAGCTCCTCCCCTCCCTTCACCAAACCCCCACCCCCATCAGTGCCAGGGCGCGGAAAGACCCTGCCAAAGGGAGCCCTTGGCCCTGGGGCGGGCGAGCTGGTGCAGTCAGGCCCTGGCTATACACTCTCCTCCCGCATGATCCATCTGATGATTACGCTGAAGTGAAGCCAAGAAATATTCCTTAATATAAATGTCAAGCGTTATCACCTTTTTGACTAAGTGTAATATGTTACCTCTTAATAAAAAATGTCATACAGTTTATATAACACAGGAAAATGTGAGGAAGAACCCGTCCCCACTTAAAAAAAAAATTAACCCTATTTCTATTTATTTAAAATACTTCTATAATATTCGGTAGCTTTTAGAAACTGTTTTATTCTGCAGACATTTTGTTTCCAAAGTGTGCCATGCCAGGGGAGGAAAAACATACTGATTCAACACTGGAATCCTGAACTGCTCTGAAGCTCTTTTAATGATGGTATAGCCAGTATTCAGAAACATATTTATCTCTTAATTTCCCTTAAATGGAGTTCCTAAAAGCACTTAGAAGAGCATCATGGGAATGCCCCACTTTGCAGCACACAAACTGAAAAACAAACCTTGCAGTTGCTTTGCTGCCTACAGCCCTGGCTTGGGCTCCTCCCTCTCTGGGCTCCAGAGACATTAGGTTTGTGACAGCCGGCTTATCTCCCTGTGTGGTCTGAGACCAACCTGGGGGTGTGGCTGGGCTGGGCAGCCGGAAGTGGAGAAGACTTTACTGTCCTCCTATCCAAAATAATAATAATAATAATAATAATAATAATAATCAGCTGCTATCTAAAAGTTTTATGGAGACAGAGGGAGGGGTAACCTGTGTTGAAATTTCCACAGATGTCAAGCTGAAGCAGAAATGATAGTGGGTAATAGCCTTGTTTCCCCGAGAGATACAGCTACTTTGGAATGTCAGATTAGGACTGTTACCAACTCCACTGGTGAGACAGCTTGAATCACTTGCTAATGGATGCAGTATTCGAGAGGTGCATATGGTTATTTATAGGGAACACAAATGTCCTCGGTGTCATTAATGGTTCATAACTATGGTTCTTGTTTACCAAATGTTCATTAAATCTCTCTATTTAAAAAAAGAACTGTCAGCAAATGAAGAGACTATGGAGGGTTTCACTTCTGCTGGTTAGAGGGGGCCTCCTAGAAAGAAAAGGCATCTGTGTTCTTTTCTAAAGATCACAGCAGCAAACTCTTCTCCTGACTTCGTCCGAGACACTGAGTTTAGAACAGATGCAGCCATGGAGTAGGCAGCTACCCATGGTCAACTCTGTCCATTTGGTCAGTGCTTCATATTATACCTAAGTACATGCCACAGCTACTAATTAAACCAGTTGGATCAAAATCAAGAAATAGCTTGCATAAGGAATGTATTCACTGAGCGGCTTAAATCGAGCTGTCCCACAGCTGTTGAATGCATTGTCAACTTGTAGCCAAAATAAGTGGAGGTAAAGATAATGTGTAAAAACCCACTTGTAATTTTGTAGCATCATCTACCAGATTCCTGACCTCTGTTACTTTCTCCTTGGGAGTCCTAGTGAATACATGAGACATTTTCTCATTTGACTTGACAGTCTTCTTTATTTTCTTATTGTCTAATCCCAACTACCAAAGAAGAAGTATATTGTTCCTAAATTTAGGGTTGAAATAAATAGATAACTCAGGACAAGATTATTGCTGCTATTTTTCCACATTCATTTCAAATGCAGAATTAAGATAAATCTAAATTCATTCTTTATCTTTATTGCAAAATTAAGTTTTAAAAAAAACCCAACTGTGTTTCTGATTCAGGTCCCCAGAACTCTGACTGCAGGCCAAAATAAAGGGAAAGGAGGAATATAGGTTAATACTTTGCCCAAGCATTGACCATTATGGATTTTGAAAACTTCCAAATACAAGGGGAAGTAGTGGTGGAAATTAACTGCAAGAAATGTATGGATTATGTAGATAATATGAGGGTTGTTTTCCCCCCAATGCAGCATGCGAAAACAGCCAAAAGAAAGGCCAGCACCTGAGGAACTGATGGTAAGTAAATTTTCTTAGTTATATTACAATCCTCCAGTTGTATATTTGTGTATAACTTTCTGTTAAAAAGATCAGCTTGGAATTTTAACAATTCACTGGCCCTAGAAAGGTAACAACATTGACTTTGCTCAGCTAGGAAGGGTAGAAGCTTCTACCCTCTGACTATTGTTTTGGCTTTTGGAAAACTCACCACTGTTCTGAAACAGAACTTCCCTCCTTTTGCCTCACTGAGCGTCACAAACTTATCATGGGCCACTGTGTGTCCCCACGCCTGCCGCACCTTCCGGCGGTCGGAGGCCTGGCAGCAGAGAACACAGCGCCGTGTGAACCCGGTTAGCGCAGTTCAGCAGGAAATGCTGGACGTGGCGCGGAGTCCTCCTGGATTCGTGTAGAAATGCAATGAGGCTGGCTGCAGAAGATCAGGTTAATGTGAATCTGTGGTCTTTCCTCAGACAGAGGCGCGACACGTCTGCGAGTGTGGTGTGCTCGGCTCGGAGGCAGCTTACTTCGATTGCAAATGACAGTTTGTACTCGGGCAGGGAGAGGAACAGAGAGGCTCCCGAACAATTCCCAAATGGTCCTTTATTCAGTGCAGATTGTCGATTTGACAATGTGCAAGCTGTTAGGATGAGGTTAGGATGGAGCGCTAGTAATAACTGTAGTCTACTCTTTCCAGTGTTTCGTATACCGTTCCCTGCCCTTACATGACTGCAGCACAACTTCTCTGCTGATTATCTTTCACCTCTGTAACAATCTGCGTTTTACAAACGCCCGTTCAGAGGTTTTCATTCTTTATATTCACCTAATAGATACTCTGAAATGCCCCAACTTCCGTATAACGCAGATTTCATCCCCACATAGAGAGTACTTTTACCATGTGGAGAACTCTCCAAGTAAATACTTTTCTCCTTTGTATTAACCCTAAAGCAATTTTCGTGGTAGTTTCAAGTTAAAGTTCACCACTAAAGTCTCTGCAGGTTATAACTGCAGCTGTCACATCTGGAATAAACGGGTATGGGTTTGATTTTTTTTTTTTTTTTTTTTTATCTCTTTGATGGTTGGGAAATTCTTGCAGTTAGTCACATTTGAGAAAACTTGGAACAGGTCCTAGTGATGGAGACCCGTTTACCTTGTGCATTATTATGCTATGGCTGGATAGCTCAGCTATTAAAACAAAGGAAGAAGGTTTCATAAAACGGGTATCTGTTTGTAAATGCATGTCTCGGTGCTCCTATGAATTGGCCACTTATAAATAAAACATCTGCACATTGTGCGCACACCCAGAAATGTGTGCGGATGTATGTGTGGCTAAGGGACACCTCTCCGGGGTGGCAGGTCATAAAGATAAGGCTAAAGGGTGAGCGTTTCACTACCTTGGAAGCAAGTGGATGTGGTGTATGTGTGTGTGCTGACGTATGTGAATGTGTAAGAGAGAAAGAGAAAGGACTTGTCTTCAGATACATACCTTTGTACTCTGGTGTGTGCTGTCCCACATTTTTAATTAATAAATATCAACAAATGAATAAAATACAATGAAAACCATAGTCACACAAAGCACCGTCCTACACCTAAGTGAACGTTATTTTTAGTACTACTCTCTGTTTGGTTTTAAATGACTTTCTTCCCAGAGGTAGAGCAGTAGAGAGGCACCCTCCGCTGGATGGGGCTCTGGGAGGAGGCAAGAACCATGGGGCCAAGGGCTGCTATGGTCAAGGTGACTGGTCCCTACCTGCTTTCTGCCAGAAGATTGGTCCCAGTAAGGGATGGGAAAGAAAGTGAGGTACCCGTGCCTTGGGCCAGAGTCACAGTACAGGGACCCAGGCTTCAGGAGCCAGACCCTTTATTCCTTGCAGCATATTAATGGCTTTAATTTTTCCCTTTCCCTCTCCGCCTACAGCCTGTTTGATGGTGCTCCCATCTGGAAGCAGGGAGCCTCCTCTGGAATGCATGAACCGGAGAGCCCGTTTGTCACTGTGGGTGGGGGCCTCCGCCTTTCGCAAAAAAGAGCAGTTTATCTCCCAAGCACGGTACCTCCAGCCAGCAGGGTACCAACGTGGGCTGCACAGCTTGGGCCGCATCAGCTGTGAGGCCTGCAGGATTGTCAAGGTTTCCCTGTGGGGTTGCATTTTCCAAATCAGAGAAAGAAAACCAGAGATGGAACCAGGGGGAAATACTGAGAGTCAGAGATTGGCCATTTGGAAACTCGTAAGCGGACGCCGGGTGTGGCCCTGACCGACCTCCATGCATCCCAGCCTAAGGAAGTGAAGTGCAGGAGGGTGGAGCTGGCCATCCTGACTCCTGGGCCAGGCACACACCTGGCACTCAGGCTGTCTTGGGCTTTACGTTTGCTGGGGTCACTGCGTGTACCAGGACACCTAAAGTCAAGTCTTAAAATCATGGTCCATGCCAGTCTTAAAGATGAGCCAGGTTAAACTCCGGAGACCGTGAAAATCCCAGTGTTACAATTCATTTTGTTGTTTAGCTATTTAATTCTCTCCACTTAGTGTGGTGTTCTTCAGATGATTTTTTTTTATGTCCTAAGTGAAAGTTTCATAAAATCAGCCCAAGAAATTCCCTTACCACTCACATTTTGGAAAGCCCAAAGTCTGTGTCAGTGATGGTGAACCTTTTAGAGCCTTTAGTGATAAAAAGCAGCACGCTGCAGCATGCGTGCCGTAGATTCCCCACCACTGGATACGAGCTAGCGCAATTTTCTGATGTGTAACCATGAAGCAACATAAGAAATTCACTCAAAAGTTTCCTTGTTGTTACCCACACTTGCTTAAAAGATCTCAGGACCAGGTAAATGATTGAATTTACACCATACTTATAGTCCTGAATGGTGCAAAACCCTCTACTAGACCCAGCAAAAGCTACAGAATAAACCCCCTGCATGTATAGTCCTGCAGGGCATGTGGCAGATCCATCAATAGCTAGGGTGAAGTAGTAGTTAGAAAGGGAATGCAGGGTTCCGTGAGGACCCCTTTGAAGAACTAGGGGAAAGCTGTGTAGAGGATGTAACTTTTGAAAAGGGTCTTTGGAGGCTGGGTTGAACTTTACTCAGTTTTTTGGGGTTTTGTGGGGTTTTTTTTTTGGTACCAGGAATTGAACTCATGACCTTGTGCTTGCCAGGCAGGCGCTGTGCCACTGAACTATATAGCTGGTTGGGTTGATTTTTAAAAGAGATTTTTTATTTTTGTTTTCTGGTGCCGGGAATCGAACCCACCACCTCACGCTTGCCAGGCAGGCGCTGTGCTGCTGAGCTAAATCCCCAGCCCTTAGGAGAGTTTTTGAGTGACCTTTCCAGACAAAGCAGACAGGACAGGCAAAGTCTGGGGTGTGTGGGCCCCCAACCTATTCCGAGCAACAGGAAGCTCGTGCTGCCTGCTGAAACAAACCCATTTGAGGTTCACATAGTGGAATGCGGAGCCCACGGAGGTGGAGTTCAAATAGGCAGCGTGTTCACCGCCAGCTGGGCCGTCTCTTAAGAAATTCCACTCTGGTAGAGGGAACTCTAGTGTCCGTGTCTGAGAATTTTGACTTTACGTGGAAGCACCGCAGTACACCATCCAACACCCCTGTGGGCCTTTTTCCTTGAGTGAATTCTCTTGAAATTCACTTCCTACTCACGCATAGGGAAGCTCCTGGGCCTGAGGAAGGTGTGGCCTTTCGTCAGCTCTAGCAGAGCCTGTTGCATAAACTGGGAGTCAGCATTAAACCCCAAGTGTAGAACCAGCCGCACAGGCAGCCATGAACAAGAGAGGTGGCAGCCAGCCCCGTGCAGCTCCTTTCTGCCCCTGTGATAATGACTGCAACCTTTAAAAACCCACTTTGAAAGCACACCCATGTAAGTCGTGGGAAAGACCTGTGAGAGAGCCGCCCCAGCTCTGCGGCCTGGCCCCACCACATGGAGAAGGAAGTTGCAGGCGGTAGAGACTGCGGGGGCAGCAGGTAGAATGCTCAGCGGGCCCCAGGCGGCCACAGGGACGTCTTGGCTTCTTCTGTGGGGAAAAGGCAGCTCCCGCCAGCAAAAGAAGGATTGGTGGGACTGTAGCAAGAGGAAAATAATGCAGAGGTGGTCAGTTTTCCCACACGGTCAATAAGCAGATTGAGGGGACCAGGCAAATCAAAGCCAGACCCTTCAATTCAGAAACAAAGAGACAGCCTAAGACGTGAGCGTTGAAGTATGGGGGTCCTCGTCTGATGTTGCTATTCAGATTACATGTTAAACACTCGTAAAGAGGTAAGGTGGGAAACATTGCTGCATAGGCCGTGCACTTCTCTGAGCCGTAGGAATTCCTTCTGAGGAACTGCTCTTCCTGTAGGGTCTTTGGTAGCTTGGAGAACGGCAGGGGCTGTGGCTTAGCAGGAACAGGCTCTCCTGAGGCCCTTCCTGCGTCACCCCGAGCAGCAACCCTGTCCTTCCCACTTCAGCATCCTCCTCTGAAGGGACACGTCGGATCCACAGGCCGTGACCAAGGGCCTGTGACTTGAGGAAGTCCTTAGAGCCCCTGGAATCACTTGTAAAATTGTGTGTGCGGATGGGGATTTGTTTTTTTTTCCTGGAGAGAGGAATTCATGGTTGTGACCAGTTTTTCAAAGGGGACCACGACCCTACGTGATTGTTAAGCGCTCTCGTCACCTTCCCATCCCATGGCCAGGATCAGACAGCAGCTCACAGGGGAAGGGGGATCCGTTCTCTCGGAGGCCGCCTGCTGGAGAGGGGGAGGGGAGAGGAGGGCCCTCCCTGGGGGACGCTGGGGCTGCCACCAGCTGTCAGGCAGCCCTCTCACCTCCCAGCCTGTCCAGCGGGGAAGGCGAGGGCCCCCACGCAGTCACAGTTGGGGCTCAGAGTGCCGTAGATTCTTCTATGCATTTAGAATACTTCCAGGAGCTCCCTACATCTAAGCTCTATTTAATGGAACCTATGCATAGTAAGTAATCAGGTCAGAGGAGCAGCATCCCGGTTTGAGATCAATCGCCGGCTAATACTTTATCTA